AGTGCTCCAACTGTTTTTGCTGCATCACCAGACTTTCACTTTACCTCATCGATCAGACGGCACAGAAGACGAGGAATCTTGGTCACGACACACTTTACCTCATGCAGTAAAGGATCTGCGGCCAACACAAGAAACACGACCTCCTCAGCTACATTACACACCTAAACCCAATCTCCTATCATGTCTTGTCATTGACCGAACAGTGAGAAAACGTGTTAGATATACTACTGGTCTGTCTGACAGTCTGGCAGGCAGACAGGTGGTGTAAAGATAATGCTCTCTCATTAGAGTGCTGTACTAAAGCACTCAGAGCTGGCCAGAAAATCCACTTAGTAGCAGGAGCAGGATAGTTGGAGTGGGGGGGGAGGCCTGGATGTGGAAGAAGGAGAGAGAGTGGACGGGGCCTGCGCTTGTGTCTGCACATACATTCCTGAAAATCACGTGAGGATATTGATCCTCAAATGGAAAGATAACTTTTCATCAGGCTTTTTAGGTACAGACAAGAAGGATATTGGCAAAATGTCAAATGTCCTAGCAGTGCTTGGAGATAAATAAACTGATCAACCAGACAGACAGTGGAATCGGTCCAAATTGTCTCTTCATTGGCTCTATTCTGTAATCAGCCGGTCAACACTTGAAAATATGATAGAAAACTACAGTGAGTTAGAAAACTAATTTTGTTTATTAGACTTAAACTAAGAACTCCAACAATCTGACATGTTTATTTTGAGTTGATAAGAGAGGCTTGGGACATATAGCTAAAGAGGAATCATTTTGTAATGAATTAATAAATCTGCTGTTGGATTTGAAACAACAACCGCAGCAAAAGAAACTGCAGCTTATTCTCGTATCCGTTTCATATTTTTGGAACAACAAAAATATGGAAAATCCAAATTGGCCAAAGCTTGAATTGGCAGAATTCGCTAAATTTCAGCCAGGTACAACCCGACCGGTACATCTCTACAACAGGGTGGGAATTTATCATTGCTACATTGGTAAATCCAATACTTTGTGACTATTGTGTTCATTAGGATATTCAAAAATATATATATTTTTTGGACTGATTTTGAAGCACCAGCTGTGCGACCCACGGATTCAGCAGCTACAAACGCTCAAACTAAAACTGGGTCGTTACAGTCCCGTATGAATGATGAACTTCCTGTACAACTTCAGCTGAAGCTATTCTTGGGGAGTAGCGGTGCGGTTATTCAATTACCCACCTCCACTGTTTACCATCAAGATTAATGCGAGTGTAGCAGTGTAGAAACAGACCCATTGGTATAAAAACCTAGGTCAGTCTCACAGTTCGCAAGCATTTGGAGAGAACTACATGGTCTGACATATACAAACATTGGACAATTTTACTGCAGGAGACAAATACTACTGATTACAGAATGCATTAAATATGTTTTGTAGTAAATAACTGAGTATCGTTATGAAACAAAAAGCTCATGTTTCTGTGACTAATTCTCAGTTTTGTTCTCTCTTGGCATTATCATTACGTTTCCCCATTTCTTGATCAAGCTTGGACTACAATGTGGGGGGGAAGAAAAAGTCTTCCAAGTAACAATAAAATATATTTAAATCTGACCAGTACAAAGAAGCTGAAACAGGTTTGTGCAACCCTGCAAACAATGAGTCAGTCTACAAACGGAGTCAGTCCGAAAATGACCTAACAAGCCAACATGCAAATCAGTCATCCAGTACCGACCATAACCGATCTGGAGAGGTCCAAAGCCATAATCACTCCAGAGGGAAATGTCTCGTTTTGCTATGTTGAATACAATATAAAAATTAGACCACAAGACAAAAGAAGCCCTAAACTTATTTTAACATGCATTTTCATACTTAAAGATAGCCACAATGTGTGCTGGAATGACACAATGTGAGAAGCCAAGATACAAAACTGACAACTATATGTGCAATCATGTTCTTCTGAGAGAACACAGCTTATTTTCAAACCTATCTAGAGTTTAACGAGGAGAGGTCTTTAGTAAGTATTTCTAAGCTTTTCAGGTAGCTGGTAAAAACTTGAGAATAGATTCTCAAGAAGCTCGCAGCTTGAAGTTTAACACAAGTTACGAAAAGAACATGTAGAAAGAGGTCTGGTCAAATCAGCACAAAACTGAACTTTTTGCAAGCTACGTGGGGCGAAAAACAAAAACATAAGTCAGTAATTATTAATGTACCAAAAAACACTCTTCATCCAGTGTGACTGAGCTTAAATACTTAAAAGTTTTCAGTCTACGCAAAGCTGGTAGAGAAGTAACACAAATGATGCAATTCTTGTGGTTCCACAAAATACTGACTCAGACAGGGCAGAATACAAACGGGAGTCACACTTCTCAGCCTGAACCTTGTACAAAGAGCTATGCATCATTTCCTTCTCCTTCACAACTGCTGTACAAAAATGGACTGAAATCAGAAAATATCGTAACGACGCGGACGTTTGTGGATGGAACATGAGAAAATGCGAGAATGCTCACAAGGTGGAGATGCCCTCATCTCAAGTCTAGGGTTGTCAGTCACGCTGCATTTAAGCTTCACCCAACCAGGACTCAAAGACACCAGGGGTTAGGATTCATGCTTTAGAATGGCCAAGTCAAAACCCAGACTTAAATCTAACGAAGTTGACAATTTATGTTCAAAGACGCCAGCCATTCAACCGGACTAAGTTTGCATTATTCTACAAAAAATAGGTGGAAAAAAAGTCTGCCTCTTATATGTGCAAAGCAGGTAGAGGCATAACCCAAAAGACCGGCAGAAAGCTGCACTTCAAATCGTCTTGTAGAAAGAGACAGAGCTGCTTCTGTCAGGGGGAATGTGTTGCATGCAAAACTATGTCGGCTTCTCTGCAGCCAGCCGGTAGTAAAACTGACGAAGAGATAAGAGCCTTTCAGAATTTATCGAGAAGAAACGACTGCGGCCGGCAAGTCAAATAAAACACCAAAGGAAGTGAAAGAGGTGGAGAGTGGGGGAGGAGAGAAGGCAGAAAGATGAAAGAAGTAGATGAGCTGGGATAGAGAAGAGATGACAAGGACAAGATGGAGAAGGAGAAAGGCAGGGAGAAGGAAGAAACAAACTGGTAAAAGTTTCAACAATGTGATAAAGGGGACAGATTTCTACAAGCTCTCGAAACTTTTCATCTCTACTTTACTGCCATCGTAAACTCCGTAACCTACTCAAAACAAGTTCATTGTTCTTCAACAGAATATTGATTCTGTTAAAGACAGAGGGAGAAAATAACAGGACGTTTGGTGGGGAACAAATGTCTGGAGAAAATGTTTAGGAAGCTGCGGTTTTTACGGTCGTCACACTTTTTCCTAAAGTGCCGCTCATGGTTTTATAGTCTGTCAATGACTATTTTAGGTGTAATCAAGTCGCTTCAGGGAATATCCACAGTAATCAATGACTCATCAACAGATCAACTAGCAAAACACCTAATCACTGACTCGGCCCTACGTGGTGAAAGCATTGTTACTCAAATTCATCCGCGGTCTCACTTTGCACCAAAAACATCAACAAGTTGTAAATGTACTTAATATACAATACACTTCATATGTCACATAAAAATAAAAAAGGGACTTCCTTTTAAGAATGGCTATAAAACGAAGCCAATTTTATTTCAGCGGGGAAAAAAAGAAATAAAAATAAACTGTAGAACATTTTTCCTCCTTCCTGATATGAAAATTCTGGAGAGAGAAAACAAACGTATCAGTTTGAAATCATCTTCCTCATAGTGATTCTGCAGGTCTAATTTGAAAACTCAGCTATGATTTGGTAACACCGACTTAACACGGCAACGAAGCTTAGGGGTAAAACTTCTCTCCGAACAACAAAATTATATTAAGCAAAAAATAAAATCAGAAGAGTAGGCTATACAATGCTGTGCAAGTAAACTTAAGCTATCTATACATTTAAAATATATATATTTTTAGCCTGTTTAGCTCCCATCTCCATGGTTTTTGATAGGTGCTTTAAGATATGAACTATAGATGTGATTTTATAATAAAAGCATGATGAAAAATGTGAATTTAAAATAGAATATTAAAAATATATAATTTTTTGATGATAATAAATCCAACATGGATTGATTTTTATCAGGTCTGGCAGGCTTTCTCTCTGAGGAATCGCTCTGATGGAGTAGAACATAATGACAGACAGAAGGACCATTTTAGCTGCAACGGGTTCAACCCGATGTGGTGGAGCCAAAATATGACTGACAATCTATAAACCTTAATGGATGCTAATGTGAGTGCTAACGCAAATGTTGACAAGGATCATGATTCTATTCGGAACATAGATTCATGTTTTTTTCCTTATTAAAGTTTTCCATCTGACTGATTCCTGTGTATGACATCCCATTAACTAGCACTGCAAAGGGCCAGTACAGTCATGCAATGTATGACTCTACAAAGTGCATAAGCACAGCAGAGGATTTTATTTTGTAAATGCATAAGAGAGTAATTCACTTTCTATAGCTAGCTTTATGTGGTCGTCTTAATGAACTTGCATATGTTTTTTCATACGAAGAAACCACAAAGTGCTGTCAGCACAACAGCTTGGCAGGGAACACAATGTGTCCTACAATAAGAGAACTTTTTTTTTTTACATGGTGTGAACTAAATCACAGTTTGAAATTGTATCCCAATTTCAAAGTTCTGCAAAGAAAACAATAAAACTTCTTTAAGGTGTGTCCCACCCACCTGCTCTCCTCCAAGTGGACACCCTAATAAAACAAATCTGGTGCCGCTCCTGTTCACTACTTCTACAAATACATTTCGATAGCTGAATTGTATTATTGATCTAACAATATGGGTACCGAAGAACTTTTGGGATGAAAACCTTAAAATGTTTGCACATGTGCAAAAGTATTTTACTTTACTCTCATGAAGAAAAAAAAAAGCTTTTCAGTTCCTATTGCAAGCTCCGTTTCTCGAACGAAACAAAAAGAAGCAAAGAAAGGATACATGGTTTCATTTTCCTTTTTTTTTTCTTACCATATCATAAACGTTCAGGATGATCGGCTCGTTTGCCATCACTGGCATCAGGATCTCGGCCCCCTTCGCCCCTTCTTCCCCGCGGCTTTTTCCTCCCCCTTCCCACAGTGCGAGATCCAAACTCTCGCCCTCCTAAACTGTCTCGCCGCCGTCACTTTTACAAGTGGTCCTCAGTTTGAAAAGTCAATTTCAAAACCCGGTCTAAAAACGCGAAGAGTTCCGGATATTTATCCTATCGTCCAACATCTGACTGGCTTTGTCCAAATCCCCGCTGAGGGGGGAGCAGCAGCAGCGGCGGACAGATGAGCCTCTTCGGTATCAAAATGAACCAACTGCTAAACCCGCTCGGCTACCGACGTTGTATGGAGGGATATTTGTTCTCCATTAAAAGCGAAAAAAAATTTGTTTCATCTTCCAAGACCAGCTATTCTAATAAACAACATACTTCTAAGATTTAAAAACGCAATTTACTGTGAAAGAAAGAAAAAAACCCACTGCTACCGCCGCTAACGGTAGCAGTGGACGCGACCGTTGTGAGAGCATTTGGCTGTTTCTGCGTTCGATTGTTCAACCTTATCGCGACAGGCATTGTGGGTAATGTAGTTCATTCCATAAGATTGGACGAAGCAAGGAAAGTTTGAGGTTTCCATTAGCGCAATTATCTTAAACACACATCAAAACAGTTTCTAGATCAGAATAAGCAAATTAACATCGAGCCTTTGAAACTACACGGCTCAGTTTCAATTAGGATCAATTTAGAATGTATGTAATTGACTTTTAGTCTGCCTGTATGACTGGGTTTAATTGATTTTTCTTTGTGCAGTGCCTTGAGGTGACTTGTGTTGGCAGCACTATATAAATAAGCTCAATTGAAAAGGAATTGAATTATGTTGAAAATGTGTGTAGCATTCAAAAAGCCGGCCTCATTAATAACGCTAACAGATTTGCTGAGTAGTGGTCAAATATCCACTCAGATATGCCCCCTAGCTTGTTGATGGCTAAAAAGAGCAATAGGTTGAGCTACACCTCATAAAGGGACCTTTTATCAAATGATGTTACATTTATTCTGTCAAGAAAATGAGTTTCATCCATCACTCAGTATTTCACATTTATGAAGTCAAAACAACAGCTACCACTTTCACTTGCAATTTGAAAAACTTGAAAGTAAAATCATGACAAGCCTTAAAAAATTATAACTTTTTACTTATACAAATCCATGTAGTCAAGGTCTACAGTCTCAATTTGAAGAAGCTACTTCAACTTCAGTTCAATGCACAGTGGCAAATATTAATGAGAATTCAAGGTGGAGTACAAGTGATCAGTATCCCAGTGTTGCATTAAGACGTTTCCTCTCCATCTGTGGCCATACTCATGATTCCTCCTGACTGCCCTCTTCTAGCAGCTCCATGAGCATCTCCTGATCGGAGAATTCCTGCAGCGAGGAGTTCATCTCGTTCAACAGGTCCTCCCCCAACAGGAAGCCCCTGACGTCGTGCACCGTCATGCTGATGCGGTGGTCTGTCACGCGGTCCTGGGCGTAGTTGTAGGTCCGGATCTTTTCTGATCTGCCTTTGGTGCCGACCTGAAAAAGAAACAGGAGGTTGACCTGGCGTGTTTGGTCATTTTGCATACATCTTAAACATGTCACATGAATAGTTGTTCGTACCGTCATCAAAAAGTCATTGTATTTGACCTTTTTTTTTTTTTTTTTTGCTACAAAAAAGGTAGAAAAACCAAACATTTTAAATCTGTCATTAGTTAAATCAGACTATTTTTAAACAAACAGAATCTCACTTGGATTTTGCGTTGGTTGTAGCGCTTGCTGGTCTCTTCCTCCAGCTTCATGTTGTACAGTTTTGCAGTCAGAGCCTTCATGGCTTTCTCCCGGTTCTTCAGCTGGGAGCGTTCCTGTTGGCACTCTGCAACCAAACCTGACAGACACAAACCAATATTTAAGATCATCTTCATTCAAGGCTTGGTTAAAAAAAAAATGTTGCATGCCTTTCTTAATTTCTCTTAAGAATCAAAATGACTGTAAATTCCAGTGGGGGATACGTAAAAGCAGCTATGGAAGTTAAGTTCCTCAGAGTGACAAACTAAAAAAGCATTATGTTTGATTTTCGGTAACGCGTTTTACCTGTTGGAAGATGGACTATTCTGACTGCACTGTCTGTTGTGTTGACATGTTGACCGCCAGCTCCACTCGCTCTTTTTGTCTCTATCCTCAAATCCTTTGGGTTTATGGTGAAAGAAATCTAAAAAGAAAATAAACAGAGGAAAATCAACAACAAAACTAGAAATCTTGCAGAAACTACACAGACTTCTGATAACAGAAACTTGGGAAAAGAATTAGGGCCACTGAAAAAAAATAATTTTCTCAGAATTCTGACTTTTGATCACAGAAGAATCCAGAAAGAAAGTCAGAATTCTATTTTTTTCCTCAGTGGCCCCAATCACCTAATGTCAACATGATATGATGACATTCAAAACAATGGACCAAATCCAAACATCTCTCTGTTATTTTTCGATAACAGAAACGTCATTTCGACATTCCCACTGACATGCATCATATTCACTACACAGCATACTCGTTTTGTGCACTGATTTCTATTCAGATGTGTCTGTAACGACTGTGTTCACGTTGCTGAGCCGTACCTCGGTAGGTTGGGGCAGCACAGCCACAGTCATGGTGCTGGTGTGCATCCTTCCCTGTTTTTCGGTCTTGGGAACCCTCTGAACTCGATGAACTCCAGCCTCAAACTTCATTTTCTTGTAGCTGTGCGGGCCGCTGATGCTGGCTGACGCGTGCCGCAGTCCGCCTGGTGACATTGAAGCAGGCAGCACCGCAGATCGGTAAAAC